TCTTGGTCGGTGTTCGAGATATTCTAACATATACTAAAGATATTAAAAGTTTGTGCTTCCTATACTCGAGTGAGTATTCTATCTCTCTCTCTTTCTCTCTCTTACTTTCATTCACTTTATCTTTCTCTTTCTGTCTATATATCCTTTTCTATATCTATCTCTTTCTTTTATTGTGTAGCTCTTTCTTTTTCTCTGTCGCTCTGACTCTCACTCTCTCCCTCTATCCCTCTCTCTCCCCCTTTCTCTTTCGCTCCTCTGTTACCCGCTCGCCCTCACGTCCGATTCTTGTCCTGTGTTGTATGAGGAAATCAAATATTTTATACACGCTCACAAAGTTAATCGAGTATATTAGTTTCGTGCAATTTCCGTCTAGTGCCTATTGAGATTTGGATTTTAGCTATACTCAACTGCAGCCACTTCTTATAAAGTTTTGAAAAAAACTTGTAAATGATTTAAAACGTAAGGAATTTGTATGTTTATTTAGTTTTAAAGTTCTCTAGAACACAAATATGTTTAAATTGTTGTTTTGAAGGCAAAGCTTAACAGTTTTCCTAATTGCCTCTGGCTATATTTTATAAATATTTATAAATTTGTCAGGCAGCACTTTAAGTTACTTTTATATGCGTTTTCAGCCTGTTCAATGACAGCTGAAAATGATTTCTTAGCTAATTTCAAGCTTCAGTTTTAATTTATAGCCAAACGTAGTTACAAGCGCTTTGACTGATGAGTTTCTTCTGACTTCATTTAAATTGTGTTCTACTGTACGTGCTACACATATGTAGGTGTGTGTGAGTGTGTGTGTGTGTATACCTACTCACAAAAATATTTGTGATATTCCAAGAATTAATTAACACTTTAGGCAGCAGAAGCAGAAAGAAAGAGAGAGAATAATAAAAATACAAAACTATTATGCAGTATGCACGAAAAATTAACATGACAGCTCTAGACATGGCAATTTATCACTAACATGCTGGCCAATTCATTGCCGTTGTTGCTGTTGCTGTTTGTTGCTGTGTGTTGTGCTGTTGATGACACTTTAATTAGAGCCACACGCAAGCGAGGCACACAGACAAAACGCCTGACAACAGACTGTGAACCACTATTACAAACTGAGCTGAACCCAAGTGAAGAATGAACTAGCTCTCTGACTCCGTGTGTTTGTTGTGTCAGTTGCACACACACTTCAGCTGCCAGAGTTGCCAGACCGCCGTTGACTGCTGACTGCTGACTGCTTGACTGGCTGAATGGCTGAAAGCTCAAACGGCTTTTGGCTCTGCGGTCTGCATAAATGGCTGCTTGACTGACACATTTAATTATATTAATGATGTTTGCGGTCAGCTGACATTTGCACTTTATTTACACTCCCGAACAGTTGAGCTGCTCGTCAGACTTTCACGTTAACATGGCTTACACACACACACGTGAATCAGGCTTGATCATTTCTCAAATGTGACAGCAAATTATCAACAGCAAAAGCAACAGCAACAGCAACAACGGCAACATTTTTGTGGCATAGTTTTTCGCCGTCTACAAACAGCACAAACGATGACACTGACAGCTGTCAGGCTTAGTTTATTTGATTTTATTATAATTAATAGCGGGCAGGTGTCATTAATCATTGAATAATTTATGGGCATTCGCTGCTAGTATTTACATATGTACACACACAGCTGCTAAATGCGCAAAGGGTTAGTCAGTCGGGCACAGCCAAGTAAATAAATTTACTTAACTTGACAACGACATAAATTTTAAATCGTAAAATAATTTATAAGTGAAAAATGACAGTAAATGCTGTAAGAGTACTTTCCATTTGTTTTGATGCACCTGCACACATTCGTGTCGACAGCTTCTCAATCACAGCCACAAACGACTTTATCAAGATGAACTACAATGTTATGAACTAATCGGAACTAGTCAGTAGTATGCTTTAGTGAACTTGTGGGTATACAATCTGTACTTTCATTATGTGCGCATAATCTATTGGTATTATTCGAAGAATAGAAATCACAAATGAACTAGTTCATTGAACACTTATCATGCGAACTAGCTCATTTAATTGAACTCGTAAAAATTACTCCTAATGGAACATAATAATAATGGCATATAATCAGACATTAACTAGTTCATTAAACTAGTTCCTTAAACTTATTATTTACATTAAATAAGTAAAATATAAATTTTCGTACATTTCAATTTCATGTGAACTAGTTTTTGTAAGGGAAACCCAAATCGGGGAACTGCCAACTATTTGGAACCAGTGCTCTTTCATTTGTGAACCATTAACTTATTATTGAACATGTAAAGCCTTGTCAATAACATATGAACTAGTTCACTGATACACTTTACTATCGAAATCTAACATTTTATTATGTATTTATCTTATTCGTCACTTACGAAGTGAGTTACTTAATTGAACATAAAAATGGAGAACTAGTTCAAAGTAAATTTTATGAATTTTATTCCACAATCATTTTTAATTTTGTCTTGAATAAGTTATGGTATAGTTTCAGATTAATATTTAGCCGAGTTTAAGTGTGAATTGATGAACTAGTTCATGGAATCTAGTATTAATTAGAGCTATATAATCTCTGAAACTATAATTCATATTTTATTTTTTATGCCAATTGTTCAACTATATACTGAATAGTGCATATTGAATGAAATTCCTTAAGAACTAGTTCACATAAATCATTAGACTACAGTACAAAGTGTCTTTTTCTAAATCAATAAGTGGAGATACTGAATATGTTTATGTCTACCTCATGCAGCTATAAGACTAGATATATATGACTCTATATATGCAGTTCAGTCAGTTTCTCCATTCAAAGCTCTAATGAATTGCGAACTTAGTTCCATTTTAATGGCTGCAGCACTCGCTCATTGTGGCGCTGAGAAGCTGGCATCCGTTGTTGGTGTGAATAGTGTGAATATTTACTCACAAATTAAAATGAAAATTTATTGGTCTCAACGAGTTTTTGGGGCTGCAGACACCGCAGCAGCCAGAAAAAGGCTTTCGGACTCTGATTAACTGCTCGAGCAGTTGTGAAATTGCATTTGTTCGCTGTGCCATTATAAATTCAGATTTGCTGAACACATAAATTCCACTCCAGAGTTGCCAGAATGTTCAACTCCCCTCCAGTTCCCGAGTCTCAAAGAATTCACAATGAAAGCTGCAAATGTTGATAAATTTCATGAAGCGACGATTGCGATTTCTTGCTGCAAACTAGTTGTAGTCTGGGCAGTCTGGCAACCTTGGTCGGACAGTCCGGCAACCATGTGTAGGAGTTGCTGATTGTTGTCGTAAATTGTTGCTTGCGGCAAGTGGCCGTAATTGCTTTTCTGTCGACATTTCTATTATTTATGAAATATCATACGTTCATAAATAATGGCAACTAATTTTATTTAAACGCTCGCAAATACCTCGCACTCCATAAGCTGGCCATATCAGAGCCAGATTGTGATATATTGCCCCGAAGCCGCCACCACGTCCCACCCAGATAAACACAAACAAGAATCTATTATTCAATCGAACAACAAACAAAGTCTCACCTCAATGCGATATAAATTGCGACTCGGACTTGCTGAGCTGAATAAGCACACACACGCACACACACACACACACAGTTTCATAGTATAATTAATTGATCGAATATAATAATAAATAATTGTAGAACATTTTAGTTTACAACAGTTTTGCATGGAAAATAAAATTTGAATAATTCAAGTTAAAACAAAAAAAATTTGATTGAGAACATTTTCCTTTACCAATTGTGGAGTAGGTCTATAATTTGAAATTGAGTTATGAAGACCCTATCAGAGGGATATCATAAAACTGCACATAAATAGTTCGAGATGAAGATGAACGTCTTAGCAGCTGAAGAGAGATTTAAAAGAGCGCTAACTTGGGGTTAGAAGAGATGTCACTATGTAGTGAAAAAAATATATAGAATCAGAATCAGAATGCTCTATATACTTTTGATGCCTTAGATATGATATATACATATATATTTGTTTATATATAGACTAATGTAATCAAATTAATTATATAGATAAAAATTCGTTGCAAGCCAAAATCTGTTTGCACTTCAAATTAAATTAAGATTTAAGTGTTTTTGCTTGTTAAGTGTAAATTCTTCTAATGTTAAAGTCTTATCCAGAGTGAGCTGACCTAACGTTATCTACGGCTTTTAACTACTTTTCGATATTTGAAACATTTCAATCATATTTCAGTTTCTTAGTAGCATTTGAGCAGCTGTTCAAGCAGATTCCATGCCAAAAACATTGCGCTTGATCGTTTGCTGACCTAGGCAATGACATTAGATGATCATACGTTCAAATTGTGAATAATTTTGAAAAAATGAAATATATATAGACCCTATAAGTTAATACCAATTTCGAACTTTTCAATTAATTAAATATTTTGGAAGCCAGTCAAATTATGATCATCTTAAGAAATCTGATCATATTTTATATGTATGAAAATTAATTCAATTATATATAAATATATATTTATATATAATATATGTAGGTTATAAAGATCAATTAGATTAGAATTATAATTAGTGATATATATATATATATATATATATATATATATATATATATATATATATATATATATATATATATATATGTATATATATATATATATATATATGTATATATATAGATAGTATATTAAAAGACGTCTTTGAGTTTAGCGATACAGTTTCCATTTCCAATCAGAGCTCTTGTTCTTCTTTTTAATCACGAAAAAACATATAATTAACTTTTCTTTACATATGATCTTTGAGTATAGCTGGCTATACCTTGCTTATATTTATGCCTAAGATATGTGCTTTTTTTTCTTCCGCAACTTAAACTTATCAAAATAAACATTCTTTTTCACTTGCTTCCAAAAAAAAAAAACAATCTAACTATAGCGAGCTATAGTTTCCTGAATAATATATATTCAATATTCGATTCGTGCTCTAATTCCACTTTGATCATCTGGGACTTACCGCTGTTGGAGCTGCGGCAGCTGTCATATAATCCGGCCTTAGATAATGATGATTGCTGGACTGCAGCATTTTGTTGTAGTTGGTTAAATCCACTTTGAAGGCTGTTCTTTGGTTTAGATGTGGGAAGAAGATGCAGCAGAGGCTGGAGGAGGAGCAGCGCGCTTAGAATTGGCTTAAGCTGTGTACAGTGCTGCCTATTTTGCGTAGTAGTGGGCGAGCAGTGCTGCCAACTCGGGTGAAAGGCGGCGCCTGCGCCTCGCTTAAGCCGTTGCGGCTTTTGGTTTTTAATTTTGTTCAATTGCAACAATTGTTGCTAAAGATATTTCTTTAGTAATTTATTATTGTTGCTGTTGTTGTGATTATAATTTATAATATTAATAATTCCGAAGGGGATTTCAGTTGTTGTTATTCAGTTATTCCGAGTTGCGCGGCATATTTAATTGATTTGCTGCTGCTTAATTGTGAAATAAATTCATTAAGTCGTATAATTGCAGCTGCTCAACATTTATTTATTTTCGGTTTTTGTTTTTTTTTTAACTATTTTGCGTTACGCGCCAAAAGCTGCGTGAAAACTGAATTAATTTCCAGATATTGAATTACTTTCTTCTGCTTCAGCTTGGGTTTTGCTTTTCTTTGGCTTTGGATATGGCTGAATGCCTTCGTTTAGGGCGTGTTTTATGACGAGGCACGTACGTGAGACTTGGTGTAGCTAAGGAGGGCTTGGGGGCGGGGATTGACCTCTATAAAATCTATAATCGTAAATTGAAAGTTTTCTCTGATTTTTTTCAAAAACTTTGATTTATTTATTTTTAATTTTTTGTATTTTTTTAAGACTAAATGTGGATCAGTCTAGGAGTAAAGCACCTTTTTGAAAACATCACTTGAAATTTTTTAAAAAATAATTTTTTTTATTTTTTTTTATATTTTTGTAACTTTTTCTTGTAATTCTCTTTGCCTTGCATGCACTAGAGCATGTGTGTGTGTGTGTATGCAATTAGTTACGTATTTATTTGACACGCGGCACACGTTAAACAAATTCCACTCCGTTCGCAATCCGTTCACTTTGCACGTACGTACTTTAACGTGAAATAACAGAATTCGACTAAAAATCTATAAACAACATTCATACTCATTCATTTTTTCGCTCCGCTCTTGCGTCTGTAGACGTTCGTTTGAGAGTTGCGAGAGTGTAAAGCATGCGGAACGCTCGGGCATGGCACAACTTGTTCCGAAACCAGTTCAGTTTCACACACTCAATGCGCCCGTGAGCGTGTGTGAGTGTGTGTGTGCGCCTGTTTCTCTTTGTTGTGGTCGTTTTCATTTTCAACAAGTGTGCTTTTGTTGTTGTGCTCGGAGCGACAACATAATAAATGTCATGCGCAATAGAGAGGAAGAGCGAAAGAGCGCGAGAGCACAAGCGCAAGCTTTGTGACAGTGGCTCTCTTTGGTGAGCGCGCATGCTTGCTGCTGAGGCAGCACAATAAAAAAGTACTAAATTTCATTTAGTAGTAGACACATTCGTACCACGTTGCTGTCGTCATAAATATAGCAGCGTTAAGTAGTTTCACACGCAGCATTTACACTGCGCTAAGATCTAGTGATTTTTATGTATCAATTTATGATAATGGCTAAGTTGAAGTATTCCGTTTACTAAAACATAATATTTGCTTCAGTAAATTCTCGAAACTTCCTAATAAAATCGTTTATTTATTTATTTACACACGCAATTCTTCACACATACACACATCCACACATCACGTTTTTCGAAAGCCGCCGCTCATTGGACGATCGTCGCTTCTGTGTAGCCATTTTGGGATTTTTTTCTCTCTCTTGTTAGTGTTGTTGTTGGTGTGGTTGCGGTTGTGTTGGGTAATATTGAGCACAACGGCGTCGGCCATAATTGTTTACAAGTTGCGGTGAGCAGGTGGGCGGAGGAAATAATATGTGCTAGAGTTATGTGGTCAGATAATACATGAGGTGCCAACAAGAGAGCGAGAGACCAAATGCGAGAGAACAGCCTTGTATGTCGAGAGAGACTCGTTAAAGTTTATGAGAGATAGACAGAGAGAGCGAGTTTTATGAACGAGCTGTAAACAGAAAACAGCTGCTGGCAAATGTTTTCACATGCTCTGGAATGGGAAAAGCACCGCACCGAATTACAACCAATCCAGTTTACTTGATGCGAATAAGAACAAGGCACTGTAAAGGAAACTTGTTTTTACCAAAAACTTCAACTTTTAACTAGAATTACACCTCAAAATAGATAGAATTCCAGGTAAAAAGGCGTAAATCACATATTTGCATTTTGGAAGAGTTTTATGTGTATAAGTCACATAAAATGTCCTACCGCTGGCCAAATGAACAAAGCAGCTTTAATTTTTATTACAACTCCGCTGTTTCAAAACATGGCCAACAAAGTCAGCTGCAAAATTAGGCGTCCATACAAATGCAAATGGCTGTGCCATAAATCGAACACCTACCTGTCAAAATCAAAGGTAATAAACGGAAGACAATGCCTGGGCTCTGAAAGCCATAAACATTTGAGTTCCAAAGGTATCGAATCAGCATTTAAAATTTGCATATTCGAAAGATTTTCAAGCACATTATAAATTTAATATACTTGAATAAAGTTTCTGTTTTTTTTTTTCACATAAAATTTGTTTGCTAATTGATTTGTTTGCGTATTGTTTTAATGGGTTACATTAAACTGTGTTTAGCTCCCACACAATAGAGCAAACAATTGAGATTTCAATTAAGTGCCACACACACACACAGACACCCACACACACATATTTCTGTGTGTGTTAACCACAAAATTAAGCGGCTAACTGAATTTGTGGCCACACACACACTGACAGACACACAGACACATATGACTAGCAGCACAAAAAAGGATTTGCCGTTGTCCTTTTTGCCAGCAAATCCCGAAAGACAAAAAAAGGGTTTCGGAAGTGGGCAAAGCATTTTGTTTGTGTTTTTGTTAGCATTTTAGCAGTTCATTTATGCGGGCCTCTAAAAAACAACTCACAGCACATAATTGACCGGAAAATCCACTTCAAGCACAACACAAATGACCATCGAAGTGGGGCTCAGACCTAAAGCTGGGCTCATCCAAAGCTGGAAGACTTTTGCGTTAATTGCTCAATCGGGGCAAGAGGTCAACAGGGAAATGTTCGTTTGATTGACATTCCTCCTCGAATGACGAGCTCTGATTGATTGATTGATTCAGTAGTCAGTCGAAAATTGGCTGATATCACAGCTTGATTGACTTTTTAACTAATTGATTAACTGATTGAAAGCTTGATTGATGTACAACAGATTATATGATTGACAGACTGACTATGACCAACTGAGTGACTGATTGATAAAGTGATTGATGAATTAACTTGATCATGCTGATTGACAATTAACTGAGTAATTGCTTATACTGACTGATAGACAGATTGACTGACAAATGTTGTGATTGACTGACTGATTGACTGACAGACTGACTGTTTGAGTGAGTTACTGAGGTATCAATAATATGAATGATTGATTGATGAACAGACTGATTTGATTGATTTAATGATTGGCTGATTGATATCTATTTGACTTGGATTGTGCTAACGATTGACTAATAGACAGACATACGAAGTGACTGACTGAAAAATTAATTATTTGATTGACTGATTTGATTGATTGATGGATGCATAACATTACTGAATGATGACTGATTAAGTATTGACACATTGTTTGATGTATAGACATTGATTAGATTATTATTATAGATTGAGTGAGTTACACTGCATGATTGACTAAGCAACTGATTGAGTAATTGACTGATTGACTGACTTTCTAAAAAGTTTAATAATTGACTGCTTCATTCATTAACAGACTGATTATTTGACAGATGAAATGATTGACTGATTGAACATAATGTATTGATAATATAAAATATTGAATGTCTGAATGACTCATTGATTGACTGATAGAAAAAGTTGATCTAGGAAGAAATTGTCAAATTGACTAATTGATAGGTTGATTGATAACTGATCAACCAATTTATATATTGACTGATGGAAAGAATGACCGACTGACTAATTGAGATAGTGATTAACAGATTGAATGATTGATTGACTGAGAAGTCGACCGACTTCTGACTGATTGATTACAATTAGTGAATGATTGACTAATTAATTGTCAATTGATTGATCGTATAAATTGATACATTAATTGACTGACTCTGAGTGATTGACCGGCTGAAGGAGAGCAATGTGCAAAAGTGAGTTGTTTTTAATCAATTATCTGGCCAAGACTTTGCAGATACCTTTAACTGTGCTTTCAATTCAAGATGTTTTGGAGTAAAGTAGATTACATAAGAAACAATAATCAGAAAATGTGGAAGTTCTTCCTCTACGAAATGTTGGACCTTGTTAGTTAACCATTTTGTAAACCGATGTTTCCCATTGTTGTAGTTTAACTGTAAGCCAAGTTTTTCTTTTGGCTTCTTCTCGCATGGCAACCCTCTGAGCGCTCGTTAGCTTAAAGCGCTCTTTATCGCGCTCTTCTTATGCTGCGAGTCGCACCTCGACCCCAGTTAAATATCCAAGTACTTTTAGCCTTTTTGCACCCAGTAGCTGCTGCCGTGCCCTCTGCCCCTATGGCTTCCATTCTTACACAACGTGTTTGTTTGCCCACTTTCATGTTGTATGAATTATATGCGCTGCACACTTTTTAACCCTTGGCATATTTTACAAGCTGCTTTACTTTCAGCATACTCTCTAATAAACACACAAACGCACTTAATGCTCGTCCCTGTATGTGCGTGTGTATGTGTGTGCTTTTTTCTAGATTATGTGTGTGTAGGTGCCTCAAGTGTGCCGGCGAGTTCATAAATTTGCCCACTGGGGCGTATGAGTAATGTGCATGAAGTGTAACTTTTAGTCTATGTGTGTGTGCGTGTGTGTGTGTGTGTTTGATGACTGATCAAAAGGGAAAAATGAGTAAAATGTTAAAGCCATAGGCCAGCCAGCTGGCAACATATGTTAGCATCAATTTAACTTTATTATTTCCTTCTGTTCTTTTTGCCCTAAGTTATTTTACCCTTGACTTGGCTTCTAAGCTCTGTATATAGCTATGCAAATATAAAATGCTGAATATACAACAACAATTGCATTCTTGGCAAGATCTGTGCATGAGATATTTCTATCATAAGTCGAGTGCAAATAGTTAAACAAAGTACAATTTATGGCCGACTATAGATATATATATATATATATATTTGTGATGTATGAGCTAGAGATATTCTTAAGGCCATCTCTTTTCTCCTACTCCCATTCCCTTACCATGACCATATAATT